AGAAATCGCTATATTAAGATACTGTTTTAACAACACAACAACACAAATCAAAAGTTCAATAATTTTTGCGCCAGTTTGGTTATTAGGGTTTTTTCGTATCTTCCCTAATAAGGGTGGGGGAAGCTGGTGAAAAAATAGTTTTAAAAATTGCTGTATCTTCCATACTCCTTATCCAAACTCATTCGATTTGGGCTTATTTGGGTTCGGGGTCGATGGTTCCCATCGCGTCTTCTGGAAGGCGCTGTTTAACCAAGATCCAGTTTTTTCTAATTTTCTTGAAAAATCCAAATGGCATGATATTATTTTTTTATTGCTGTGCTTAAAGAGCAAAAAAATATCTACATTTTGGCGCAAACCGCAATTCAATATCTGCATTCGTTTTGAAGTTATGCAAATAACTTGTTTCCATAATATCGTACCTCGTCGACCTTAGTGGGACACCCTGTATATCGTATTAGCTGGAAATTTTGGGAATGCTTTCTGTATATATTAAAACTCAATTGCTTTTAAATTCAATATTTCGTATACTTTATTGTGACTTCTTCGGGAGTAAATGCTCAGAGTTATACAAAGTTGTGAATAAATTAAACAAGATTGAATCAATGATGGTAGAATATTTTGTAAGTAAATTTTCTAGAATGTGAAAGTAGAAATGAATTTGAAATAAAACGATTGACAAGAAACAGAAAATAATATGACCGTTTCTAACCTTAAGTACTAATTTTTCTATACGGTTTTTCAAGCATAAAATTAAATTAATTTCCATTTTATTCGTGTGATATGACTGAAAATTAATTTAATTTTATGCTTAAAAAACTGGATAGGAAAATTATTAGTACATCCGACTTTAAAACAAAAAAAAAAAAAAAAATTTTAAAACAAATTCTATTAGATAATTCATATCCGCTAAAACTTATCAATAAAATCCTATTTGCTACAAATGATAACAAATCAAATCAAATCAAAAAATGCTTTATTGTACAAAAAGGCCTTAAGACCCTTATTTACAAAGCTAAAATGGAAGTAATACAAAAATAATACAAAAACATTATAAGGACACACTGAAAGGTAATGTTACATGTTAAAATACTAAGAACTAATAAAGACAATCAAGATAAAAACATTAAAAACCACCAAAAACTGCTACTTAAAATGTCATTCACAAATCCAGTCAAGTCCTTATATATGGCACATACAAATAAAAAATAAAAAAGCGAAAAAACAAAAATAAAGACTAAAACATTTTTTTAATTGCAGTATAGACGTCATAATTCATAAAATCATTAAAGCTAGAGCCTATCGTCATAAAATTCTTCCAGAGAATAATATGCTTTTGAAAGCAGAAGCTGTTTCACCTTTCTAGCAAAAAGGACACTATTGTCTAGATATTTGATCTCAAGAGGCAGGTGGTTATACATCTTTTTCCCCTCACAAAAATAATCAATTAAGGTACTTGAACCTTCAGTAATACGGGTAGGATTTTTGATCAACATTTTAAAGTTTGAAGACAAAAGCAAATCGTTTAAATTTTGTGTCTGCAATGAATTATTATCTAAGTAATCCATATTAAGATCTCCCGCCAATAAAATGTCTGAACCATGCAAGAGAGAGAGCAACATCTCCAGCCTACTCAGAAATTCACCAATTGCACTACTAGGAGGTCTGTAAATGCACAGGAAATAAACATGATTCACTTTATCGTACACAACTGAGAACTCAAATTCTCCTTCTACACACAATCCATCAAACTCACTCACATGCATACAGTTCACAATTCCACACAAATCGTCACGGATGAATATTGCTGTGCCTCCCCCCACGCGATCAGCCCTGCAAAAGGAAGACAGCATTAGATAATTCGGGATCCTCAATGGTTCATCCCTCCTCAACCAGTGCTCCGTCACAAACAAAAACCCTGGATTTTCATAACACTCCAAGAATACAAAAAATTCATCCACCTTACCACGAATTGAGCGAATATTCAAAATTAACCCTCGGGCGGGCGCGCATTTGAAAATCATATTAGCAGGCGCGCTGCGGCACTGCGTGCCGCCTGCAGAAAAATGTACGAAATGTTTCAAAATATCGAAATTTATTTTTAAATAGAGTAAAAAAATTAAGTAAATTGTAATTCTAGGCAACTAAATGAAATCCTTAATACTAATTTCGCAAAAACACAAAAATAATATTCATAAAATTTGTACTATTCCCCTTTCAATTTTACTTACATAACCAGGCGCGCTGGCGGTACGGAATGCCGAAAACTCAACACCTGCAATTTCAAGAACTCACTGACATCTGAACAAGCGCTCTAAGGTCGTAAATTGTACGTAGTAGGTTTGCTAAAATAGTCATTTGAGCATAGCTAGACGGACAATATGATAAAATCCAAAATATTTGCGAAATCCTTGAAATAGTAAAAAGGCGGCATAAAAGGAAGATAGCGCGCCTGCCCGAGGGTTAAAAAGGACAGTCCTTCCTAGGTATGACGAGTGGCCGGGGCTGCTTGTCTAAAAAATGTTTTTCACATTCGTGCCTCGAGAGATGAGCCTGGCCTTCCAACAAAAGAGGCTCAGAGTCCAGAAGATCCGCCTCCCCTGGATACTCAGGAAAGAACCCACAATCGTCAACCTTGACCTGTAATAAAGTTCTAAATCTGTCAGGTACAAAGAAGTTTATAATTTTTTTTAAATATTAAATTTGCTAATAACCGCCTGCCCCTGCGATTCAAATAAATACTGTTTCTGAAATAGCATCTTTGGTCAAATTCATTTTGCAAATTCAGATACTTAACATTATTTGAGTAGAATCCTAAACTTAAAGCACTATTAGAAATCTTATTATTTACAAGATAAAACCTATAAGCCTCTCTACATTCTATATTAACAGGTATATTACACAAGAGTAAATTAGTAAAGAAGCATTTGTTTGCCAATGACGATATATTTTTCATTGAAATATCATCATTATTCACTCCAGCCAGTACTATTACAAAATCTGACATTGTTAACTCGGTTACAAGACAATTGATGCTAGATGCTACATCATTGAATTTGGCAAATGGTTTACATATAATCTGAACATAAAAATCATCACTAAAAAAATCCTTCAGATAGTTGTACATATGTTTACCATAATCATCTGTTAAAAACACTACATTATTCTTTTTTTGTTCATTTACTTTAGCACATTCATAATTATTAGCTTCAGGATTGGCATTCCTTAGTTCTTCTTCAAGTGAAATTGAATCAGTCTGCTCCTCAGTGGGATCCTCCAGGTATAATCTGTTGTCAGATGTCATAAAAGAACTTGGAACATTGTTCTTCAATTTTATTCCTTCTTTGGTCTGTTTGATTACAGCTATGGGAGATTCTTTGGCTTGTGCTTGAGAGGCCATCAAGGTATCTTTCAGAGCAAACAGCTCTTGGTTATCTTTTTTCAGATCAACCACATAAACATTGTTTTCTTCTGTTAGAGTCTTTATGGTTGTTTTCATGTTTGCAGTAATGTGCTTCAAATCTGCAAGCTCATTGCTCAGACAGATGCCTTTCCTCGAATAACTGTTTCTCTTCCTGTAGTTCTTCATATTTCTTGCTTAGTGATGAAATTTCCAGTAGTAATATAACTAGTGCATAAAATATTTCCGGAAATTTTTGAAAATTTTGTCTGAAGCCAATTCTTTGGCGCTATGCACGAATGGTTTTGTTTAAAAAAATTGACTAAAAACGAAATTTTTAAAAACTTCCCTTAGGAAATATTTTATGCACGTGTTATATTTGGATAGGAAATTTCCCGAGTTTGAAGTTTATTTACTATAAGTTGTGTCGAATATTTTAATTATAATGATGTGTTCTGTGGTGGTGATTGTTATTGATCTTTCCCATTTAAATTACGTTTGTCAAAAAATATACACTTTGACAGATTTTTGACATCAATGCGTTTTAAATGGAAAAACAGGTCTCAATGCCAAAAATGTCAACCTAAAGGTGGGTTTCCGACGGACGCCGCGCGGCATTGTCGCATTGGAAATTGCACCCGGAAATATCCCGCTCACCAGGGATATTTCCACTTATCAATTTTTGAAAATTACGAGGTAAATTTCCAGTTAAATATGCACAAGGGAAATTTCCTTATTAATTTCAACTTTTTCTCACATCATAAATGATTCCTGCATACTAATGATAATGACGATAATTTTTTCTTTGGTACAATACCAAATATCCACAATTTGAGTCCTGATATTGTAAAAGTTTTTAAATCAGAGAATATAAAAATTTCATTACGTAACACGAAAACTATCGGTAATTTATATACCAAAATGAAGCTATTGCGATTAGCTACTGCGGTTACAGAAAACAGTATCAAAATATTAAATTTTCGCACCTATTAAGCGTCGTAACCGCGAAAAGCAGGTAGTTGAGAAAAGGACGTGCGATCGACACAAAATCTCAACGCCAAGTGTCCCTCTCTGGGATCTTATTTTAAAGAAAATTCTTATAGCTAGGGTACAGACAGACAAGACAAAACCAATTCAAACTAGTTATAAGGAGTCGGTGCAAAATGCTAGGCCGAACTCAAATAATGCATAAGGAATGTAAACAGAAATTAACAAATAGAGAAAACAGAACAACAGTCATAACCCAGAATATGCTTTATTATTATTGTGCCTACCCAATTGCCTAATCATTGAGCTCCAATTTCATCTCAATGGCCACATTCAGAAAACCCTTGTCTTAGCAGAAAACAGAAATATTGCTAATTGCTGGGTAATTGGTTCTGTGAGGATAACCCTATTGTTCCGAATGTCATGTTTTCGAGTTGATCCCTTCATCCTGTTCACAAAAAACATGTAAACAATTCACTAATCACTGTAGCAAAATTGGCAAGTGTCTAAATCAATCGCACACTTTCACTTCATGTGTCATCAATTATTTATCATTTTGTAGATTTTTCAAATCCAACTTGCTCTAGGAATTATTAAGACTTAATTTTTGTTTCAGAAAACTCCGTTCGCCAAACCCTCAGGTGAAAAATTTGAACTGACAAGATTCTTTCGTGAGTGGCAACAGGCGCCCTTATTAGAAACGTTCAAAGAACTACCCCCAATTGAAGCAACTGATCTTCAGAAACAATTAGAAACCTTCGAAAGCGACCTGAATGAGTTTGACAGCATCGTGCAAACACTTTGTCAAAGCTCACCAAATAACAATTAATTTGTTTATTTTGAAATGCATATCCAACAAGTGCACTAGAAGTGCCAAAAAAATGTATCGTGTTTTTTGCTATAGGTAATTAAGACTGAACTTGAAGAAGGAAAGAAGAACTTTTTATTATATTTATAAATGAATTTGTATATATTATTTGTAAGAGTAGACAAAATGAGATTCTTTTGAAGGTGATTATATGTATATGGTCTAATTGCGCTTAATAGGATAATTTTTAATATTGAATTTAAAGTTTAATCTGTTTTTAAAGACCCTAATAATTTCTTTATACATCCTTTTTACTTTATTTTTTTGCTCAAATTGTATTTATTATATCCTGTTGTTGTTTTACAAGAAAAATAAGCTTAAAATTTATTTTACATTTTGCTTGGACTTATTTCTGTTGTTTTATTTTGAAGCCTGAGCCGTTTTCTCGCGTGCACTTTTTGGCATTGGTTCAAAACCGGTTTAAAACAGTCAATGGAAACACCATTGCTCGTTTCAAACCTGTTTTAAACCAATTTCAAAAAAGTGAATGTGAGAAAATGGCTCTGATGACAAACATGGTTGAAACAATGTGATCATTTAAAAAAAAAGGACAATGTAGGAACAACCATTTTATATTACAAGTTTGTTTTGATTTCGAAATAATCTATACCATTATGGTAAAACTCTATGATATCTAAGAGATCAAAATCAGAATAATGAGGTTTTTTAAAAGATTCCATTAATTCGAGTGACTGAGTGATATCGACATCATTCATACATTTTAAAAATGCAAAGGAATAAATACTTGGGTGATAAATGTGTTGAAACAGTCCAACACATCAAAAGCCGCCCATGGACGGTTTCGAAACCACTCTGTATACGAATTTCTGATTCTATGCACAAATTTTAAGCTTTGCGCCGAATCGTAACAGTACATTAAACAGTTTCCTGGTGTGTTGGAACAAAGCTCAAATATGCAAAGCTATGATAATGCCTCTGAAAACGACAGTAATAAATAATATTAATACTATAGAAAAAGTGTAACCACAATAGTAATTAAAGGTGCGATTCTGTATGCGATGTAACGTAATGTAAGGGATGCAACTTCGAGAGCTTGAGGGATCTAACGAAAAAGGAGTTCTGTAACTTACATCGCGCTGTAAAATATTCATACGCCTACTGTAAATTTACGTCGCGCGAAATGGAGACATACTGTTACATTTTTGACGGTATGAAACAAAAAAGTTTTTTTTGTTGCACAAAATTGCAAAAAGAAACGTTTTGAGTGAGATATTAGTTAATTATGCAATTAAACAGATTAGGCCTTTCATCATCATAGGCAATCACTCGAGTATGATTATCCTCTATTCTATTCTTCGACGATTGTGCGTTTCTTGATATCTATATAAACCAATTCTGGAGCCGCACACTCTTCATAGTCTTGGAACACCCAAGGCCTTTACAAAAACGCTGATCCGATTACAATGGATTAACGCGATCACCCAGCTGCTGTAAATTGTCTGTTTTCAATCCAGTGGCGGCTCGTGGAGTCCAAGTAAGGGTGGGCGACAAAAATGAAAAGCAGCTGTGGGCAATTTTTTTTAGATTGTCAAGGCCGCGGCCTTTTCAAATATTGTCTTGTATATAGTATTTTTTATTTCTTCATTTTTTCTCCAAGGTGGCGGTGCCCACCTTGCCCATATGGGCGAACCGCCACTGTTTCAATCGCGTTCCGTAAAGGCCTTTTGTATTCGATTTATATATTTAAATAAAGCTCTGTAACTTGTACTGTACATTCAGGCGTTTAAGACTTGCACTAATTGGATTGTGCGTCACATTTACCCTACTGCAAAAAGATATATTTATCGGAAAGTAAAGGGTTTTCCATTAGAAGCGCTCGATTTTTATAACGCAATAAAACAAATTATGAGAATGATAGTGATCTATTTTTATTTTTATCATAAAGTATATGTGTTACCATTATGTTTTAAAAATTATATCAGGTAAATCTCCGCCGCGGCTTTGCATGGTTTGTTGAATTCTGGATACCCAATTTGATAACGTTATCGCATAAAGTGTCTCAATTTCAGCAATAACGTGCCTAATGTTGGCCTTTAAGGCGGCAACAGTTCGAGGTTTGTCAACATAGACTTTGGATTTTAGAAAGTCCCAGAGAAAAAAATCTAGTGGCGTTAGGTCGGCGAATTGTGGATTCTGAAGGATTATCGTTGACACCATAAATTGCCGAATAGAACATTGCTTTTGATAATGATGATCATTTTTACCAATTTCCACGCGTTGCTCAGTCGTGTAGCGCTTCATAATAAAATGCAGAGACTAACTGAATACGGCTGCCAAAGATAGCACCTGTGTGACTATTGAGTTCGTCTTGCGCTATTGTCAAGCATTGAGCGTTACTATTGGAAAACCCTATATTTAAATAACAAAACATTACAGACCGGGGGATTATGGACATTTTTGTTGCACCTCCATTCCCCGATCGCAATGGTACATACACAAAAATAACAAGTTTATAAAGAACATACTTAATTAGAGGGGACATAGATTAAAATAAACAAACTAACAAATTATAAAACTATTCGATGGATCTCAGCTTATTTTCAACTAATTTCTTAAACTCACTCAAACTTATTGCATCAATGTCGATTGCAGAAGCATACAAATTGAAGTAATGGCACATTCTGTAAATAGGCAAGCTTTTGTAAAGATTTGTGCGAGGATAGGCTAGATAGAAAACATTAGAGCTTCGCGAGTTTACTCTATTTATGGCAAATGGTAATTGGCTCAGAATGTCTGGACAATCTATGTTTCCCTTGAGTATACGAAACAATGTGCATAAAAATATCTTAATTCTTCTCCTACTAAGCGACATCCTGTCAAAGATTCCTAGGAGGTACTCATTGTCACACCCTAGGGATGCGATTTTTAGTACTTTTTAATGAACTAGTTCAGTAGTACTGAATCCTCAAAATGTACTAGTAAAATGTACTAATTCTTTAGTACATCTACGAAAAAGGGAAACAAAGGAGAAAAATGCAAAAAATACATATAGAAACTTTATTTAGTATTCAACAAAAATAAAATGAATGAATTATTTGCTGAAAGTTACATAGGTATACTATTAAGCATTTAGGAACTAAAAAAATACAGCCTTGATTTCCTGATATTACATTACACTTTTGTGATTTTGGTTATCCGGGTTTTAAAAACTGTGTTGTGTTCCGTTTGTGCTTTTGGTTAAACCTGTCGGTTAAGTAGGTTTCTTCATATTCCGTGCTCATAGATTTTTGTTTTACATCTGTTTTAAACTTGTTTATTATAATTTTTTCTATGTATTACGATGAAAAGAATGTACTATAATATTATGGGACTCTAATGTTATGGTACTAGTACATATAGTACATTTAAAGGATCAGTACAATTGTACTAGTTCGTTCATGTACTACACATCCCTATCACACCCTCGATGAGTGATACCCAAACATTGTACTGAGGGGACCAAATTATTGTACCATATTCTAGAATCGGCAAAACAATGCTATCAAAAAGATGCAAGCTCGCCTCCAGACTAAAACATCTGGTACTTCTTGCAAAAAAATAAGCCTGCAGTTCTTTGAGCGCTCTCAATCTTGGCAATTATGTGATCGGTAAAAGACAATGTGGTGTCAAAAATCACACCAAGATCCTTTTGCTGACTCACTCTGTTCAATCTGACATTATTTAGAGTATAGTCATACCTAATAATCTCTTGCTTTAGGCTAAAAGTCATACAAGTACATGTACTCACATTTAAATTGAAACTTTCAGTGTCACACCAGTTTGCAACTCTACAAAAGTCGCTCTGTAGGATCTCTCAATCCTCGACAGAGTCGACCCGAATGAAGCACTTGAAATCATCTGCGAACAATAGTCCTTGTACATTTTCAAGGTTGTTAACTATGCTGTTAATGGTTGCCGAAAATAAAAGAGGTCCCAGATTAGAGCCTTGCGGAACGTCTGAAGAACTTTAAAAAAAAAAACTGATTTGTTACCCTTAACTTCGACAAATTGGAATCTCTCATTTAAGTATGACTGGATCAGACAAACTAGGTATGAGGACACATTTAGGTTCTTAAGGGATTCCAATATCACACAATGTCTGACTCTATCGAACGCCTTCTCCATGTCAGTGTAGATGACATCCACCTGAGACTTATCGTTAATGGCTTCATGAACAAATTGGCCAAAGGTTGTTAAGTTGGTGAATGTAGATTTTCTGGGCAAGAAACCATATTGGCGGATGCAAGATTACTTGAGATCTCGTCGAAAAGTCGCTCAAAAATAATTCTTTCGAATATTTTTGAGACTGCACTCATAATACTTATGGGGCGGTAATTCTTTATTTCAGTTCTAGCCCCAGTTTTATGCATAGGAATAATTTTAGAAATTTTCCATTTGTCAGGGTATTACGAAGTATTTAAAATTAAATTGAATATAATAATAAAAGGTTTCAAAAGATATTCTTTACAACCTTAGGCGGGAATTCCGTCAGGGCCGATTGCCCTTTTTGCCCTGATTCTCCCGATAGCCCTCTCAGTCTCATCAAAAGTGATAGGCTTACTACAGAAATATGACTTGACGCTCGTTATGTTACAATTCATATCGTCGTCATTTATATAACTATACCGAATTAAAAAAATCGGCAAAACCGTCGGCCACACCTTGGGATCCTGAATAGGTATTGTCTCATCAAGGACCATTTCCTGCAAGAAATCAGGAGAGTCTGTTAGAGTTTTTAGAAAGGACCAGAAAATTTTAGGGTTTGATTTAAAACTTGCCTCTATATCGCGGAGGTATTTGAAATGAGCAAGTTTAACCTTATATTTAACGACGCTCCTACGAGTAACATACTTATGTCTCCAATAGTGAGATTTGTATTTTTTTGATTTTATGAAGAGCTTATATTTTTGTTTGAGAAGCTTGAAGTAGTACAGCAACACGGGTTCTAGCATCAAATTCCGAACATAACCTCAATCTTTCATTCTTGACACGTGGTGGATGCGCCGTCGTTGACACGAAGGTGGATGCGTCGTCGGCGCCATCTTGTCAAACCTCATGGCGCCATCTGTCGTGAGTGCGGTGAATTCTTGTAATTACAGGTTCCTGTAATATGGAGTGTGCGTGGAAGGGATTGTTCCGAGTCGTTTCGAAATCGCTACGTATATGTAATTATGGTTCAGGTAATTACAGGTTCCTGTGATATGGAGTTTGCGTGGAAGGGATTGTTCCGAGTCGTTTCGAAATCGCTACGTATAGTTAATTATGGTTCGGGGAATTACAGGTTCCTGTAATATGGAGTTTGCGTGGAAGGGATTGTTCCGAGTCGTTTCGAAATCGCTACGTATATTA